TTATATCAAATACAGTTATGCATTATGAAATCATTAGCTAAGCTAAAAAAATAGATTTGAAACATGAACAATAGTCGACTTTAGATATTTTGGTTCAGTGACCATGCACAAAAGAGTTGTAGATCGACAAGGCTCCGGGGAAAATAAAAGAATAAATCAAGATTATCCATTGTTTCCCCGGAACCTCGTCTGCAATTCTTCTGTATATGGTTACTCAGCCAAAATATCCTAAATTTGACCATGGAGACTGATCATTCGTATCAGCTTCAGTGAATGGCTTCCCTTAATTTTTTGTATTTTTCAAGAAGGTGAGAAATTTTGATCTAATGTTACCGATGTTATCTATTCACTTACCATCGTGATTAAAACGATTCACAAATCCAATCTCTGGACTGACATCTAACAGATCTCTAGTAAATGTTTTACATAGCCTCTCATTTCGACACTCCACAGCGAAGCAACTTGTTCCAATCTTGTACGCGACGGTACAGTTCTCCATTTCACAACACAATCTCATACACTGCTCGATTGATGATACTCTTCCTTGGTCTGTGAAATTCCCAGCGCCAAGTCCACCAATCAGATCTCTGTTTCTTTGGATTAAAAGGTGTGTTTTGCATTAAAGTGCATTCATAACTTGGGAGAAACACTTTGCAAGGAATTGTGAAAAATTGTACTAGTCAAATATGAGAAGACGAATTATTCTGTACTTAGAAATTTGCACAGTTTTATTAGCCAAACACGTTACAATGTTACAATTTTACACGTTACAATTACGTTATAATGACTACAGAGGCATACAACAACATTTCCACAGAACATCTATATTAAGATTCTTTATTTGATTGGAATTGAAATGACTCTTTGGCTAAGTTGGCATCCTCTGCAAGAAAAACTGTACTAAAATAAAACCTTTTCCTAATAACGTGGSCGAGATGCACTGTGGGATTGATGAAAGTAGAAACTGATTCCTATTGTTGATTTTCTATAGAGTTTATATTGTTTTAAGCTGATTTTCGAACAAGCATGACTTCTTTCCCAAACACGTGTTTTGAAGCTAATGTAAAAGAACCTCATGTAATTCCCTTTCAAAGATTCTCGATTTCCAATATCGTGAATTTCAAGAAGAAACTTCATCCTTCGTAGCCTTTACAAAACATGCGCCATCTTGATACTTTATCAATACCATGATGCATTTCGCCAAAACATGCATGACATCATTAGGTAAGACGGCCATCAAATAATAACAGATAAAAAAAATCCTGTTTAAATAATGAGAAAAGATATATACCTGTAGACATTCCCAAGTTTACATGTATTCGTGGACTTGTGTTTGAGTGTAGTGGGCTTACTAGTTACAGTAGGCGGTGTTGGTGTTGTTCTTGTAGTAGGTTGCTTTGTAGTTGACTGTGTTGTGGGTTGGGTTGTGGTAGGAGCTTTAGTTGTTGATGGTGTAGTAGTAGGAGCTTCAGTTGTAGATGGTGTTGTTGCTGGTGTGGTAGGTGTTGTTGGCTGGGTAGTAGGAGCTGTTGTTGAAYCGGTTTTATGATTTGATCCAATCATTTCTAATGCTTCTTTCAAAGGTGCAATGGTTGTAGGTTCACCAACTATCTGATTGGATGAGCCAAATGGTCCTACTGTCGTTTCRAGTCCATTCTCACAATTAAATGCCGTCGTTCCTGTGGCACACTTGATATTCTTCACATACTTATGAATCTCGCGACCACTCAAAGCTCTTCTAAAGATGTAAAGCTCATCCAGGAAACCATGTAACTTRCTGTGTCCACCCAATGACCCAAACCCAGCATATTGATCCCAGTCCTGTGAGAGACGACCCTGYCCGTTCGATAGGCCCTGAAGATTTCCATTCATATAAATCCTAGCCATACCCTCTTTAGAGTTGTAGGTACCCGCGACGTGGTGCCAACGCCCAGTGGTAAAGACTGGTGGAGTTTGAAGTTTAAAGACTATTCGTGAGAGCTGGTCACGATGGTACCATCGAATACGTCCGTCGTAGACTTCAAAGTTGTACTACAGAGTAAGGATGATAAATAAGCATTCGAATGCCGATCTATAACATACTGACTGTTTAAACAGGTACGATAAAAAGATATATGGCACACTTAAAAAAGAGAGGACATCTTACAGACTATTCGGATGTTTTTTTGTTTTGTCGATTATTGTCATTAAATATTATTAATAATACACAATAAACTAACCTGTCCTTTTCGATGTACCGAATGACTGCCAATAGTGCTAAATATAGAATGAAGACCTTCTATTGTCGATAGCTTAACCCATGCTGCTATGGTAACGGCGTCACGTGGTTTGCCGCGGAAATGCTTCCCATGAAGCAGGATATGGCCTCCATTTGTTTTTATTCCAGGCCCCACACGTCCAGCACTGAGTGATGCTCCTATTACAATAAACAACATGTATTATATATCATATTTTGATTAAATAGGAAGCAAGGCATTTACAGCTAGTAACTAGGCAGGCTTTGCGCCAAGTTATAACCAAATAATGCAGAAATGCACCAAATTGTAATAGAACACTATTATAACAATTGTAACAATTTTTGGCCTCAACTACACTTTCTGTAAAATGTTGTCAGTGACGAAAGGTTTATTTTTGAGTTAATTCAAGACTTATGTGAAATTTGCAAATAACATGATTTTGTAATCCAATGCTAACCTTTGGTTAATTTTCCATCATTGTTCATTCCCGAWCCATCAACGACCATRGACTCGACCACGTGATCAAAGCCAAAGTACAGTGATAYCCMCTGATTGTCTTGGTCTGTGACCTCACTTCCCAGGGTTGGCGATGCCASTGTTGTACTTGGAAYMGTTGGGAAAATGCTCAGATCATCGAAATCTGCACCTGATGCAAGTGAATACAATATTGACAGCTTATCAAACATTTGGAACACATTATCTTGTAATCCCTGTTTCGCTTAGGATCCCTGTTTTTTGTTCATTGAAAGATCTCTAAGTAAATTCAGATGAGAAAATAACAACAATAACATTTCAGGGCCAATTCACACTGCAAAATAAGCACAAGCTCCATAAACAAAGGGTTTAAGGATTAAGAAGACAAAAAGGAAGGTGTTTATCTCTGTTTATTCCTTTGTCTTTGATTAGCTTATGCTCTGCCTTATGTTACTTGCTATGCTTATATCGATGCACGCTTGACTTTATTCCTTTGTCTTTGATTAGCTTATGCTCTGCCTTATGTTACTTGCTATGCTTATATCGATGCACGCTTGAATTCATTCCTTTTTCTTTTGTTTGACGTGCTTATGTCGTAGTGTGAACAGGCCCTTAGCAAATGAAGTGGTTAGTAAACAAAACATGTGTCAAAGCTGAAATTACTCCGGCTGTAGTGCATAAAGGACAAATTAAGTAAAACAACAACAATGAGAATTATTCCTAAGTCCTTTGAGGTCTTCCTAAAGAACTTCCTACGAGATATTTAAACTGACCTTGCCGAGACACAAAAGAAATCTGGAAATCACCACCATCCTCAACAGTYCAGTGACCAGTACCACAATGCATTGTATAGCACTCTCCCTTCCTAAGCAGGGCGATATCACACGTTCTATCTTGACAACACAGCTGCAGGCAATTGTGCATGCCCTTGGCGAACGTGTGCACGAGCACCGTCCCAGCCTTAAACCCGCTTCTTAGTTTGACGTTGTAGAAGAACATGCTCTGTGTGCAAAGCCGATGGTCGGGTATTCGGTGTTCTGTCGGTTGGGGTTCGTAGATGGTATCTAACATATCATCGTCTACCTCTTCGTAAGTTGTGTACGGTGGTGGGGTAGTGGTTGGAAGAATGTATTGTTGAGTGGGTGTGAATAAAGTTGCAGTAACYGTAGCTTGGGCTAAAGCTGCACATGGAAACAACAATAAAAATTAGGTTAAAAGACCACTAAGTACAGAAATAATTCAAAGTAAAACAAGAAAAGAAAAAGCCTTTCCTAACAGATAYCAAGCTACGATTGTCGTTAAAAAGGAATCGTAAGACTATTAAAGGATGGCATACAATTAACCAGTTAGAATTGTCTAAGTATAGTACCTTTATCCAGTATGGTTTTCCCATGCCGCATCACATAATATATACTAGGTATCGCCTTTCCAATWGCAAACGCCTCTACTGGTTGACACAGGTCTGAAGTAAAGCAYTCCACAGCATAGCAATGATCATTAGCCATATACACCAAGTCACATGTTTCGATCTCACAACATTTCTTAAGACACTGTGTAGTGACATGCGTACGACCAAGGTCTATGAAAAGACCGGCATCCATGCCTCCCTGGAGCTTGCTGTTGTGGTAAAAAAAGCTCTTTTGACACTTTGGTTCCTCAAACTGGACATTTAGAGGTGGAATGGTTGGTATCCCTTTGGCAGCAGGGTGGGTTGATGGTGGCGTTGACCTTGGTGTTGTGWGTAGTGTTGGCTTTGGTGTTGTTGGCGATGTCTTTGGTGTGGTAGGTGTAGTTGRCTTWGGTGTGGTAGGTGTGGTTGTTGGAGTMGTTMMWGMTGTTMTMGTRGMYGTMGTCMMWGMWGTRMTTGGAGTTGTAGTTGGTGTAGTTTTAGTGGTAGGCGTTGTAGACTTGGTGGMTGGAGCAGTTGTTTGAGTATTCGCCGTTGTTAGATTAAATCCACTTATTCTAGCCAGAGCTTCCTCAATTTCGTGCTGAGGGATAATGCCAGTAAAACTACCTTCTCTCATTGGAATGGCTTCGTCTGCGCAAAGAACAAAATATTCGCTTATTTAACACTTTAATAATTACAAACAGCATACCCCATTAAATTTCGCTTACATCCCCGCATCTCTTAACCGAGAACTTGTACATAAATTCCATACAAAGTAGARAATTACCTGGAGAAAGGTTGCACTCTTCTGATATATCTTGAATATCTGATGCAGCRAGAGCGCGATTATACATATAGAACTCATCCACAGTCCCATGYAGTCCACCAGACAATCCAATTCCRGATTTTCCATCCCAGTTTTGTGACAARCGACCGAAGCCGTGTTTTTGGCCAACAACGTCTCCATTTACAATAACCTTGCTGAGATTAGTCCTTGAATCATAAGTAACACCAATATGAACCCAGCTTCCAAGATTAATWACCGATTCAGTTTCCATYGAAAATACCACATGACCATTGTCGTTCAAATGCGACCAATGAACTTTACCCTCGGTGACTTGGAAAGTGTACTTGGCACCAGTTCCCTCYGTCGTAAAGAGGTTGTACWGGTTGTCTATTTGAGGGAATTTGACCCATAATGCAATAGTTATCGCTTCATGTGGACGAGCYTMGAATGATCTGCTGTTGAATTCAACATGSCCGCCATTCATCACGAGAGCTTTACCACATTTGGTGTCATCTGTAGTTATTTTTGTCTGTGGTGACGCCTTGCCATTGTTATGGAGACCAGAGCTGTCGTAGACCCGACCATTAATGGCGCTTTCAAAGCTAAGGTGGACGACCAAATAAGCTTCGTTGCCTGGGAGAGGACATATGAAAAAAGTGGTAAAATAGACAATTTAATGAATAATCAACATTTTAATAAGGAATGATACCGCTTACTGGTGTAATAGTGGTGACCCTGTAGTTTGAATAGTAATACATAATAAATAGTATAGAAAGAAAAAACACAGATTAGATGGTGGTAAAATAGTCCGTCGGCGAAAGGAACGCCATTATACCAATGTGTACTTAAAGCCTTGCCAGACATAAAACCAAAGAAAGCCATTGCTCAAAAGCAAAGTAGCCATGGCTGTTCTAATGACTATCTCCCTGTTTTTTTTTTTTTTTACTTCCACATACCTTGTACCTTTAGTGTAGGCTGGTAATTCCTGGCAGCACAGCATAGTAAGAGGTTATTAAAATCTCTTACTATGTTATGCTAACGGGCAATACCAATGGTAACTCCTTTCTTGAATGCGATATCATAGTATAGTATTATATGGTAATGTTATTTAAGATTAACATGTTGTTAACACTATGAGACAACGTCAAAAACTAGAAGTAATTGAGAATGAAAAATGAATTTGTAAAACAGGAAAATAAAGAAAAAAATTGAGTCTGGAATGGCCTCCATCTTTTACCAGAAAACGGKATTCKTAATTGATATAATTACATGTTGAACCACACGTTATTGGTGTAAATATTTRCCCGTTTTTAGAATTATCTGATTAATTACTATGAATATTTTCTTCTAAAACTCAGTATTTAACAATAGTGAGGTCTTTGCAAATACTTACCGAAAGTTTCCTGAGGAATGTCAAACTTCTTCAGAGCTTCTACATTATTTCTCATTGACAACCATCGCTGTCGAGATTTCAACATCGCTTTTAGCTCTTCTCMGGTAAGTTTGTCAAGSCCATGGTAKTCTTTGTCCGCTGGATGAATYCTAGGCAATGGAACAGTAAAACGACGTCCGGTGGTCCCTTGTTTAGTAGCGTGKACTCTAACAGAAGGAGAAGCCTTTTGAGTTTTTATATGTTCAAAGTCCCGATCYGATCCATGACTTGTCATCTTKTGTGCAYCATTAGAGCTTCCCTMCTGAGGGCTTGCRGATGTTGGCTCGGRAAYGACTTTCTTCAAGTTCTGTTGTTTTTCATGTTTCAAAATASTCTTCTCAACCTCTTCAGCTGCTTGTTGTGCAGCAGTGTCTATAATGTGCTGAAAACTTTCATCTTTGCTCGATGGAGCTTGGAGAAGCTTTCTACTGCTCTGTGAACTCTCTTGGGACTTGATAACACTGTTGGAGTCCATGGAGTCCAACGGRGGAATGTCTGGAACGTGGGGCGATGTAGAAGTACTTTCTTCTGAMTTCGTGTTTTTCCTTTCGCTCTGTTGTTTCTGCTCTTTTGCGTTGCGCAAGAAGGCTTCATTTTCACGCGGTCGTTGTCCTTCAGGTTGTGTGCTGCTYTGTTTTTTTAATAGCTTCTTTGCTTGGAGATTTCTAAGAATTTCAATAGCTTTTTCCAGATCRGTACCAGGCTTGGTTGGCTTTATATATGGTTTAGTAGCCACTGTTGTTTTTGTAGGTTTTGATGTAGCAGAAATGCGACTATTGTTCAAATCTTTCAGCAAGTCAACAGCTTTTTTGAGAGGTGATCTTGATGTTGATTCCTTCAAAGAACTGATACTTTTTAAGAGTTCTACAGCCTGATGCAATGCTGGATTGGTAGTTGTTGTTGGCAATGTTGGACTCGCAGTTCCCTTATTAGAAATACCCTTCAGAAGACTCACAGCTTCAGCTAGCAATGCATTTTTTGAATGAGCATCAGTTTTAGAATAAGACTTTTGATCCTTTTGGACTTGAAATTCTGGCTTGTTCGTCTTGGGTGCATTTTTAGAATTTGAAGTTACTTTCTTTACACTTTCAAGCTTGGATAAAAGTGTCGAGAACTCCTTCTTGATGGATCCTTTATGCTCGATTCTATTCTTTGTTGGCTTGCTTTCTGTTTTAGGATGAGTAACTTTTCGCTTTTTCTTGCGAACTGTTGTTGCTTTTGTAGGTTTCATTGTGGTATTGTGTTGCATCTTCTTAATTACATCGTTGGCCACGTTCTCTGCGATTTGGTTTATCATATTGTCCAMCGAWACTGTTGTTTTGGCTMTGGTTGGACCWACAGTAGGTTTTTCTGACYTCTTGCTTTTACCTTATAAAAGTAATAACATTAAATCAACAATAAACGTTGGCAAAGTATCAGAATTTAGATATTATTGAAAGGAGKTTGCACACTTATCTATCATAAATACCACACTGCAACAACAAACATGATACAAAAAAGTCAATACCATCATTATTGYTATGTATAGTACCTTTTGATATGAAGCTAACTGGGAGMCGCGTGGTCCGTAAAGTAACTTGCACTGTTGGTTTGTGTGGCTGTACGGTGTTCCTTGTGGGAGTGMTCACCAGTGTTTTAGGTRTAACTATCGCTACTTTGCGAGGGTGAGGYATWGTAGATCGCATTGTATCTGACTCAAACAATTCATCTGGTTTCGGGCGTGAAGAATCCTTATGTTTCATTTCTTTCATTTGCCTGTAAATATCCTTAATTTCCTCAAGGATTGCTTTTTCTTCGTGGTAATGCTTGTAGTATTTCTCCTTCTTCCTTTTATGCTGTTTCCTTTTCTTCTTARTCTTTGAACCAGATCCATAATCACCGCTAGATATAACCTTCTCTTTCTTCTTTTGTTTCTTCAAATGTGCTTTTATTTTGCTTTGATGTACCTCTTTTGCTCTGTCGTAGATACTTTTAATGTAATCAAGCATAAGCTTTCCCGAAGGATCAATCAAATCACTTTTTAATGGCGGTCTCATGTATAACGTTTTGGTATGAATCTTTTCAGYTGGTTTCATAGGTCTTTCAATGYAATGTTCTGCAATATTCTTCAGAAAAGACTTCGGAGWTGTAGAAACACGTTTTGTAGTTGGCTTTGGCGATGAAYATGGCTTTAGAATCTCGTGYTGCATGACCTTATGTGTAGTTGCCGCTGGTCTTTTGMWATGAACTGTGGGCGTAGTGGTGGCTTTGACTTCTTCATGGCCAAGAGTATGTTTTGCAGAAGCTTGCTGTGGTGTTGTGTTCTTTTTCAAGGTTTCTAGTTGAAGTAGCGAATCCATTTTCTTGTATAGCATATTTACTTTATCATAAAGTTCATTTACCATCTTAAGGTTTTTAGCGTGTTGRCTACTGTTGTGCCTATGGCCTTTAGGAGTGTATATTTTTCGATGTACCACCGAATGAGTTGTAGCTYYRGTTGGTGTAATAAGTTCATCACTTTCTGTAACTACAGTTGGCCTCTTTTTATTTTGTGATTTGTGATGCCGATGTCTGTAATCATCGCTGTCATTATCAAAAGATGATGTTTGAACATCTGGTTTCTTTTGATGACTTGAATGATGATGGTGATGATGATCAAAACCAGGCAACGATGTTGGAACTATTGGCTTCTTGGGATGTATTGYTTTTTGAAGTMTTTTGCTTTCACTATCGGTTRTCTCACRAACARCGTCATCAAACGACGGTGTCACAATTGTTGGTTTTCTTGATTTATGATGGAGATTATGGTTATTTGTAATGTCATCATCATCATCATCATCATCATCATCATCATATCCAAATGAAGGAGCTGAATTTGTAGGAGAGGTTTTGTGTACTGACTTATGATGCCGATGATAATTATATGCAATGTTATCCTCATCATCATAACCAGAGGTAGGTGCWGCGYRGGTAGMCTTCATTTTAGGTCTTGATTTATGATYMCGATMATGCTTATTTGTGGTGTAATCTTCATTATCATAACCAGAGGAAGGAACTGCGAACGTAGGGCTTCTGTCAGTTGGCCTATGATTTTGGCGGCGATCATGATAACCTTGACCATCATCATAACCATCATTATTATCCCCGAAGCCGTGATCTTCACCAGAACTCAACGTTGGATGATAAYCATAACGAGAACCTTCAGCATGGTGACGAAAATGATYTGTTTTATCCTTGTTAATATGTTTCGGATGTTTGTGATGATGTAAACGTGTATATTCGGGAGAATAAAACAATTCATCGTCGTCTGATGGTGTGAATTTGCTGCTCGGTTTCTTGTGTCTGTGATGYAATGGRTCAAGTTCTTCCTTTTCATGGTTTCGATAACCTGGAGGTTTTCGTATTGCATGCTCCTCGACGCRCTCGCCTTCATCGTTTGCATCGTTAGTTTCAGTGTCTTGATGTCGATGACTAGGATATTTGTTGTGAYAATGCTTTGGTTTAAWMCCGCCTGGACGATATATGCGGTGTTCTGCTCTCTCATTACTATCCTCGTCCGGTCTGTAAARGACTCTTTCGACGTGATTATCATCTTCATCGATAGATTGATCTTGATCTTCATCCATAAGCGGATCACCGTTATCACTGTCATCATTMTCATCATTATCATTGCCATCTGAGAACGGATCACTAATATATACTTTCTTGAACTGATGCTTTCGCCGTCTATGATGATTGATACTACCTCGCTTTTTGAATGCAATTTCTTCCTTAATCTCAGAAGGATATTCTATCTCCTTATCCGGTAGAAACCTATCACTCATAGGACCAAATGAATTCCCTACAGTTTCTTTGCTATTGTGGTGAWTCAACTTACGTTCGTAAGTCTTCTCAGACGTTTTTATGAGCTCGTTGTCGGACTCTGGGAGAATTTCCGTAACTTCCTGCTCCGCTGTGGGTGCATACTCACGTGGAGTAGTTCTTACTGGTGATTTTGTCGGTTTTGAAGCCAAAGATATAACATGCTCTTTTCCAACTTTGTTTAAGGAATGCGATTCCTTAACAATGTTCATATCTGTCGGCTTTGAAACGGGAGAGGTCCCAGCATCTCCAGTATGTTTGTTGCTGTTTWTATTAGTCTTGGTGTTGGATGATGTTAGATCYATAATATTATCTGCGCCCTGAAATTTCACAGTTGGATTCGTTTTAGCTGTAGTCTTCCTATTTCTATTCTGTAGCGGACGAGACTTTGAAGGAGTTGGTTTGCTATTCTTGACTAGGTCACTATCACTTGATAAATCAATAATGTTTGTTGGATTGGAAATCTTTTTAGATATTTTTGCTGTTGTTTTTATATTGTTAGGAGTTTTGTGTTGCTCATTTTCATGAACTTTGGAAGAAGGGCTGCTCTTGCTGTTCCTACCCAGCTTATTATCGATCGTTGACAAATCAATCACTTCACCAGTTGAAGACGAAGGCTGAGTAGCAATATTCGGCGTTGTTTTTGTTGTGTGGACATGCTTTTCCTGCTTGTCTTCGTGTGATTTAGGCTTGMATTCATTATSTTTACTGTCGAAAGTGTTTATGGGCAACACATACGAGTCCGTAATTTTCGGTGTAGRACTCGYAGTATTAATATGTCCATGCTCTAGATTATTTTGTGGAGATTTTYAATTTCGAAATATCGCATTAACATTWMTCTTCTCAMTGCCATGTTTGTTTMCAGTTGARGGCAGAGTATTAGTTGTTCCCTGTGTTGTAATACTCGCTGTAGTGTGATATCTATTGTCTAGTTTATTTGTTATTAGTTTAGACTCTGTATGCTGTAGTATTGGCACTTTAGTCGGAGCATWTTTAATCGCTGTAGAATTGKTATCCAAAGTATCGGATGCAAGAGGATTTTCGCTTAAGTTGTACTTAGCTTCAGSCAGAGTATTGCCATTTAAACTTACTTTATTGTCCCCAGAATGAGTTTTGTTTGTTGTTAATGTGTGCTCCTCTTCGTGTTTCTTTTTGTCATTGGGTRTGTGTAACAATATTGAAACTTCTTTCTCAAGGAATTTATTCTCTTGCATAACCTCYGACAACCCTTTAAGAACTTTATCCATAGACGTTGCCGGATTGGAATTATTATCGACCTTTACTTCGTCAGTCTTCAACTTACTCGACTTAWTTTGCTCTTTAGATTTTGCGCTATGATTCTTGTGCTMGCGCGTCGATGACTTGGGTTTAAGATTTTTGTATTTTGTTSTATTTTTTGTTTCTGAGGGCTCTTTAAGTTTTATCTTTTCCGGTATGGTTATCGTATCACCATGTTCATTATGCTTATTATGGCTGATGATTTCTTCCCCTTTGCCTTTACTTTTTGACGATTTTGTGTGGTTTTCCTCAAAGCTTTTTCGAGATCCTATGCGTTGATACATTGGCTTTTCTGTAAAATGGACAACGCGCACGGGCTTATGACTAGGTAGTTTGACGCTGAATGGCGATGATGGTGGTTTTACATTGCCCTTTATCATGTAAGATATCATTGGTTGATAAGGTGATTTTCGAGCTGGGATGATRTCACAAGCATAGCTGCTTTTACACTTCACAGTGAAGCAGTTTCCCAAAAACATGAACACCAAGTCGCAATGTTCTTCTTTGCAGCAGGCTTCCAAACATTCTTCCGAGGTCTTTAGCTTGCCATAAGGTGTAAACTMTCCGGAYTCGTACCCTTTCCTCAAAGTCACCTCWTTGTATACGATTGAATGRTTGCATATTTTATGTTTTGGCGTTGGGGTGACTTTRAGTGGCTCAATTGAGTCGAAAATGTTGTTTAGCTCTGGTCTTGGAGGTAGAGTSGGGATTGTAATATGACGYACAAAGACCATCGAAGGGTTGAACCCAGGAAGAACCACATTGGTTGTTTGGCATAAGTAATCATCAAAGCATTCGACAAGGTAGCATTGTCCATTAAAATAATAYGCTATGTCACATGTATTGGATTTACAGCAGAACRTAGCGCATTTCTCTACACTTTTAACGTTTCCTTTGGGTTTGAATTTACCAGCGTGAAGTCCTCCTCTTAATGTTACACTGTGAAGTACTGGACCCTTTTTGCAACGTGTGGGTGTTGTTTTTGATCTATGATGATAAGCGATACGTGTATGTGGAGATGACTTCTTCGCAGATGGTTTCTTTTCCATCGTTGGAATCATAGTTGGTGAGGCTTGGTTMGTCGGAGAATGGAAATAAAATTGGTCGTAATTTGGTCTGACCGTTGTCTGCTTGTGAACTCGGCTATGAACTGCAGTGGTGGGCAGGTTAGTATGCACAATTGAGAACCCTTGGGTAAGCTTAACCGCTGATGTCGGACGGTTATTTGACAGATKATACATACTATTAGTTGATTTCGMGGTCTTACTGTGGAAGATTGATGGAATATCTGTAGGCTTRGGAGATGTAGTAGGATGCTTGTGAAGAAGTGATGGACCATAAGCTGGTCTTGGTGTAGTATCTTGATCAGATGATGGTTTGGACACTTCTACTTTGGCAGTTGGRTGCGCATGTTGATGTTTTCTGTCGAGMGGTCTCGGAATAGTAGGAGGATGATCCTGGACACTTGTATGTTCTTGATCATGAGCTGTTGTTTTASCGGRATGTTGTGAAATAGCATTTGAAGGTGGTAMTGTTGTATGSAWTTTGAATGGATTATCATGACCATGTAACGGTCTTGGTGTAMTAGGAGGATGTTCCTGGACTGTMGTGTGTACTTGATCATGAATTGCTGGTTTATCGGCATTTTGTGAATTAACCTTTGAAGGTGGCACTGTTGTATGGACTTTGAATGGARRATGTCCATGTAGWAARCTTGGTGTAGTAGGAGGATGCAATTGTTTTCTTATGATATGAGCTATTTTTGGATTAAATCCTGTCGCTAGAGCAGGTACGCTTTCACACTGTTTGAAATCAACTTTTGAACACGTGACCAGGAAGCAATGCTCGAGRACCATGAACGCCACATCACATAGTTTGTTTTGACAGCACTCTTTAATACACYAAMCCATGTTGTGTATGTCATCWATTTCACGGAAAAGACCTGCCTTCAGCCCACCCTTTAGGGTGTGGTTCTGCATTACAGGAGTGGAGAAACAGTCCCCATTTACCACTTGGAAGGTGTTCTTTATAAATCTTCCTGTTGAAGCAGTAGGAGCATTGAATAGCATATCATTGGGCTTCYAATMCGGTGAATGATCCTTCATCTCTGGCGTTGTTAATGGTTCACGCGTTGGRTTCGAYCTAAAAGMTTTTATGTTTCRATCGGTTTTGCCATTGTCATTYTGGTGGTTTTCAACAGCTGATGTATTGCTCGATAATTTATTTTCAGTGCGTTCATCATGAGTTGGCATTTCTGAATTTTCTTTCTGGAATTTTCCTATTGTAGGATTTGAACTTGTTTTTTCTTTGAGTAAGCCTCCAATTTCTGTTGGCCTCTTCTCCTTCCCAGAACCCTCCGCGTTTTGTTTGTCAATATTTGCAGTATGAAGGTCAATGTCTATAGGTTTCGTTGCTGTCTCTAAAATATTTGTTATATTATTAGAACTTTTAGGAGATGAAATGAGATTGAAAACTTCAGTATTTTTCTGTTGATCGGTCGGTTTGGGGGGAGATGAAGTCGTGTGCGAAAATGCCAGCTGAAGTTTGTTTGTTTCGTTCTCCTGCAATGGTGATTCGGGTGTGTCTTTAAGGATGAAATCCCAAATTAAATTCTGATCCTTCTTTGGGTGTTTGATTGTATTTTCAGCTTTTGGTGAAATAAAGTCAGAATTCTTTGGAATCTTHGGTATTTTCTTGTGTTTATGACTTTTTTGTTTTTTCTTGCTTGCGAAGGTTTTCAGTTCGAAGTAGTACGGTGGAAGCGTTGTAGGTTGCACTGCTTCTTTTGTTACTGGTATAGCTGGTGGTTTAGAAGACGAAAGAGAACTATCCCCTTCTGAGCTCCCACTCAGYGGAAGAAACTCAGTTACTCCTTCCTGGACATCTGRTGAGAGCGGYCCATTGAGATCATGTTCTCCACTTTCAATCGAACCACTARCAATCTTTTTCTTGTCCTTTCCTTCTTCATATTGTGGTTTTACTGGGTTCGCTGTTGAACCTTGATATGCATGCTGTCCACCAGTCGSCCTGCTCGCAAAGCTTGATGGTTTTGCTATATCTTCTCTTGGTACGCTGTATCTCTGAGTGGGAGTGACTCCTTCAGAGTGTGGGARCTGAGGATTCATAAGTGAAAAAAGCAGCTTCAATTGAGCAGGCGTCATCTTCTTATCTTTCGATGCTTTTCCTTTCCTAATTTTCTTACTTCCAGAGCTTTTGGCCTTTTTTTTCTTACTGTGTGGTTTTAAACCTCCTTTGATATCTTCACTAGGCAGATGGGTTCGACCAGTACTAGGGAAGGTTGGTTTATTGTGCCTTTCTTTCATTTTGAAGTTTTTAATCAGTTTTTTGGAACTTTTGTATCTAGATGAATACCCGTTCACTGGAAGATTTGTGTGGTCTGTACTTGGAATAGTTGGCCTAATATTTTCGGCCTTGCTATTGCCTGAGCTTTCCTGGTAATTGGTGATTGGATTGATAGCACTTCCTGACATGTCTTCAACAGGAAGATTAGTTTTATCCGTGCGTGCAATAGTAGGCGTTTGGCTAACAACTTTTCTTTTTCTTGTAGGCTCATTTGTTGGCTTGTTTTGATAGGTATGACTGCCTTCAGATGCACTAAACGAATCTGTAAATTTCTTTTTAGCCTTTCCAAAATGATTTTGCTCTTCATTGGAATCATCATTGGCCATTGCTGGGCCTTCTTTGTTTGAATGTGATATAGATGGCTCGGGGAGAATCGAGGTTTTCGAGATGGAATCAATCGCCCTGGATGGTTCAAAGGCACCTTGTTCTTCGATGAAGGACAAAAGATTTGAACCATTTTCTCGGTGAACAAATGCAAGTCGAGGTGAAAAATGACTTTGTCGAGCTGGCACGGGCCTACAAGACTTTTTGCTAAAGCATTGTACCAAGTAGCAGTTAGTTTTCAGCATCATGGCGACATCACAGGTATTGCTTGCACAACACTTGGAGATACAGGAGTTCATGCCCTCTACCCTCCCCTGGTCTTTGAAATAGCCCGCTCTGATGCCGTGTCGTAGCGTAACATTGTAAGAGATCGGGCTATTAAAACAAGGGGAGGTGAGAGGAAGCGCTTTTTCTCCCAATGAAGTCGAATCTAGCCCATCTTTCGACTTTAATTCTGTTGTTGTTGTTGAGCTGTTTTTAGCTTTGACGTTGTCTAACCTGGCGCTCAGGCCACGAGAAATGTCTTTTATATTAGCAGTTGCACTAGTACTCAACGTCGTTGGTTTGAAACTGGTGGAATGTTTCTTATCATGAATTTTAAGTAAAGGCYTCTCAGCCACAGGTTGAATTGCTTTTTGCAATAGCGCAATGTTTTCTGCAAATGGTGTATTTTTTAAACGAGCAACTGTTTTTGTCATTTGGTGTTGTTTTTCAGATGTTTTGGTTTGATTTAACAGGTGGTTCTTTGATGGSATAATCTTTGATCCTTGGGAGTTTCTCACAACATCAACACTAGACCTAACAGTAGAATAAGAAGTAGTGGGTTTGATACTTATATGGASCTCCCCTTCTCCAAATGCTTCAAATAGCAAGTTTTTCGATGTTCTTTCAAGCGTCTTTGTAGTTTTTGAGCTTTTTGGAGRTTCGGTGTTTGGAGATGTCGAGGGCTTGACCTTTTTAAACAAACTCGAAGAATAATAACTATTCTCTTGTTGAGTATTTGGATTGTAAACTGTTTTAAGGCTTGAAGTTTTATGCTTCAACAAAGTATCTTTAAAATGAATTACATCATTATTAGTTCCATCAAAAGCCTGGCTTAGCAGGTTCGTACCAGTGAGCCTCGTCTTTTCAGAAATCGGCCCTGCCCTTGATACATACGCTAATCTTGGATGGAACTTCGACGTTCGGGCAGGAACTGAATGYCAAGCAATATTGTTTTTGCATTTAACAAGAAAACAATTATCAAGAATCATAAAGGCGACATCGCAGTGTTTTGCTTCGCAACACTTTCCCAGACAATTCGCCATGCTTGAGGTAGCACCTTTGTCAACAAAGTGGCCAGATTTGAATCCTTTCCGAAAGGTTGTATTATAGTGAACTTTGCCTTGAATACAAATATTCGAGTTCTTATGAGATCTGTGATTTGCAATCGTCGGAYTGYCTCTACTTGTTATCTGTGACGTGTCAATAAAAGGTGACTGCTTTATGTACGGTGTCGAAGTACTTGCGTAGATTGACATCTGGGTAGGTATTGACGYTGTTATCACTCTTTGATAAGAAGCTTTCTTACTGCCTAACGTTGAACTTAATTTCAAGTGTGATGGTAGCAAGGTAAATGGAGTTTTGTACGGCTGAAGAGCATCAACAGCATTGATGTTTTGTCGTTTAGCTCTTGTTAAATAAGTTATCCGTGGGTTAAAAGTCACATTCTGTGCAGAAACGGGCTCACAACCATGCTGATCGTAACAAGCAATAGAATAACAGCGAGCGAGGATCATGAAAGCAACAGTGCAGCGCTGCCAACGGCAGCAGATTTGAGCACATGTTTTCATGTCCTTTACGTTGCCCTGATCTTTGAAAATTCCAGCATGAATTCCAGCGCGAACTGTTGCATTGTAGTACAAACGCGATTCCTCACATATTTGACTTGCGAGGGAAGCATTTCCCTTCACATTATCATCTCCAGTTGAGTTGTTCTCCTTAAGACCTCGTTGAGAGAAATCTTCAATTATAGATGTCGTAATCCGCCCAATTAAATCATGACGCGAGTSACGAGTGTTTCCATTTTGCGGATTGACAAGTGTTGATATGTTGAAAGGTTGAATCAAAGAATGGATATCATGTTTGTTATCGTTTAAAGGTGACGTTGTTTGTAAATAATTAGCGGGTAAGACAGGTAGTGTAGGCGTGGATTCTGTGACCCCGTCATTAGCGATACTTTTAGCGATTGCCGCATGAGTAACTTCATTGTCACCACTTAATTGATCAATCCCTGGAATTGACTCTTTTCTTATTCCATTTTCCTCTTTGACATCTTGATTTACAATACTCGAAGATTCGACTAAACCGTTTTCAGTAGAGTTGATTTTGTTTTTCAAATTAATTGAATCACTTCTATTCATTCTCATCACAATCGAAGGCTGAACTATATCAGATAGAAATTTATRAATAGCATTGATTTCAGGTAGTTGCTTAGTAACACGAACAAGTCGCGTTTTAAACCTCTTGGATTTCGCCGGAGCCGACTCGCAKGCTAAAMTGTCAAAACACGACACCAGGAAGCATCGATTGAGTACCATAAAAGCAACGTCGCACTTTGCCTCGGTACAGCAAGTATTACTACATTCSGCTAWATCCTTGACATTACCGTAATCTMTGAAWGAACCAGCATCGATTCCTCCCTTTAGCGTAGRATATGACTCAACATGTCCCATATGGCATTTCGTACTTGTGACATTTCTCGATTGATATATTGAGGATGTGGGAWTAACARGAGAGCTTAATGTGGGTGATATCGTCTTCCAATGCTTACTTGACAAAYCCTTCTTTCCATTATTCATTTTGTTATGTTCATGTGGATGGTTGTGTACTGAACTTGAGACTATGATTTCCATTCTAGTTGTTTGCGATGATGCAATGCTTCCTGGCAGACTGATATTTTCTGTACTTTTGTTCCATRCCATTCCTCCGYGCTTTTCRAGATAAACGATCTTAGGATTGAAGGAYTTATTTTTTGCCCTGATAGGCTTACATTTCTCATCARTGTAYCAAGCTACGGAGTAGCAGTTATCCAAAATCATGAATGCTACGCTACATTTCTTCTCGCCGCAACAAAKGTTTACACATTCAGTCARGTTTTTAACTTTGCCCTGGTCTTTGAAAAACCCTGCGTTAATCCCTCCTTTCAATGTCATATTGTACTGTAGAGGTGAAGCTTTACACAACGATTCTTGCTGCTTTGCTGAAATATWTTTTGTAGCGCTTTCATGACTGATGGTRTCTTTAACTYATGTAGATGACYGCTCAATGMATTTAGAATAAAAAGGGCTGTTCGTAACGAGATGGGCTCTCCTTGTTATAGTTATACTTTGTGGTTTCGCTTCAAYGCSTTCTTGCAACTTCGTTGTTGAAAATCCTGATTCAGAATCMTGATAGGTKTTTCGCACATGAACTACCCTTGGATTGAATTTATGATTAAGAGCAGGAACATTCTTGCAGAGACGCTCATTCTTACACGTGACAAGGAAACAATTGTCAATCAATAACAAAGCAACGGTACAGTTCTTAGATCTACAGCACTTATGCGCACAGTCCATGTCCTGAGCGACAGTACCAACATGATTGAAAACGCCTGATTTCAAGCCTCCTTTCAAGGTGAACCCTCGGCCAGATCTTGAATAATGACATACCMGTAGGCTAGTYTTTTCTGAATGTACCMTTGTCATKTTACCAGCAGCTTGCATCGCTTGGCCTAGGTCAATCTTAAGTTTGGTTTCWGAGGAGTTRGATGCATAGCGAGATGATTTAAACWCAATATCATGCTGTACGGTAGATAAAGGAGCTTGATYATTGCTTTTCTTCGTTGAAGAMGATATCATGTTSAGCATTTGTGATGTTACGACTTTGGACTCGTTTATGCCTGATGTTAGTCTTGGYGTGGGCARATRAACAGTACTYTAATTATGACTATGACTGGAAGCACGACTAGAGTCCACTGTAACACTTGCATGACTCTCTTTGCCAAAGAAATGTTTAAATTTGTTTAATAGATGTGAGAAATACCCATATACTCCCTGATACTGTTTCGCATCGRTGSTTGTATTCAATGATTTGARCAAWCCCTCAMCTTTAAGAATAGAGTRGGRGGGTACGCCTGCATCAGCACTCAAAGAGTTGTTAGAATTTGCTGMCATATTTGAAYGAACCACAGAACCATGTACTGTTAAAGTGGTATGGTATGTGCTATGGTATATCCGAGYCTTTGATGATATTGTCGGTAGTAATACTGGTGTTTTTGTCATTCTTGAGTGAACTTTAGTTTTGTGATGGTCTTCATGTTTTACCTTTTTGATACTCTTTGAGTGAGGCATGCTAGTCACTAAAGTTGACTTTCCTTCATAATTTCCTTTACTTGATTGAATTGGATTATGCAATTTTGATATATGGTGCTTCGAACTATTTGAAGGTTTCTTTCCACCCTCTCTAATGGTGCTACTCGAGGACGGCTGTATAAGCTCTTTAACTACAGAACCACTATCTAGRGATTGTGATGAATCTCTAGAGGTTGTCTTTAGCTCGTTATGCAGCATGTTCTCCATTGCATCCAACGAAGACTTCATCGATTCAAAATCTTGCGATGTTRTTGAGGCATTAGTCACAAGATTTTGTACTGTGTCGTTAAGGRTTTTAATGACTGGRACCTTGGGGAAATGAGCAGTCARTTCAGTGAGAACTTTCTTGATGCTAGATTTATATGCGCGCTGTTTTGACTCGTTGTGATTTGAGTCGTTTCGTGAGTGGTCTAATTTATGGACGTATAGTTTTAAGGATTTGATCAGCTTTTCGGCWCTCTGAAGAGATGAAGATGTTTGATTTTGCTTCCAATTGAGGAATTCAAGCTGATTTTMAAGCAAGTGAATGTCACTTGAAGAATGTCTTCGTTTTGCTGCAGTTTTTATTTTGTCTCTTTGATTCAGCGTTGGTGGCATTCCACTAATCAACCTTGATGCATTAGCGTTCGCGAGGCTAGATAGCACAGCACTAGGATCTAATCCATGCAMCGGTCCCTGTAAGGACGAAGTGCTGGGGTATGGCCTGGAGACCAAGCTTGATACATTCGTTTCCGTAATGGTGGATAGCGGAGGACCATGATGATTATCACTGGACGATACAGTAGATGTGCTTGATAATGAAAAGCTGATGTCTTTTTCGTCTGAAGGTAGCGAATGATTTCTGGAAMCTACAGATGGAGTCTTTACAATGGACAGTGTARGACTTGTGAAGAGKGTGATTTTCGAACTGRCATCTAAAGTGGATGAACTGRCGTTAAGCGGAGAGCTCGATGTCTGATRCGGTGACMCACGCAGAGAATGAATGCTAGTAGAAATGGTAGCTGATATTCTCGACATATTGCRAAGTAACAAAGTACTCYTAGCTTCAGAATTCGCCTCTTGAATTGTTCCAATAGCTGATGGCAATGCARTTGATCTATTGAAGACTCCKTCTCTACGATTTCCAATRGTAGCCAATAGTTTCGAGTTCGCTGGCYCAGTAACTAGACTGTYAGGGGCTATTGTTAATGTAGGTGTCTTGTTCATTGGGCTGAGAAGTTGTTGTCCTTRGGATTTATGTAAAACAGTGGTACTRTCAGATGAKAGTAGATTGGTTCTAGRMACACTGTTCGGTGTAACAAAGCTGACTTTAGAAACCAATATAACGCTGGAGTGATTAACAAGTAAAGATGATACTTTCTCATTCAATTTCATTGCAACTAATGAGGAATGACTGGAAATGTTCAATGAATTATGCTTTTCTTGTAAAGACGAAGGAGACACGGCACTTSCTATGCTGGAAGGTTCTAGAACAGGATGGASGCCARTTTTTGTTGTTGACGGATTTTCAATGCTAAATGAAGGTACCAWTGGAGTGAAAGTGAGCCGTTCAGTTGACGTCTTTGYTGGCACACTAATGTCTGAACTCTTTGAAGGAGAATGACTTGGAGTTCCAAGCACGTGAAATAGATCCTCATACAGCAGGGCATCTCTTACAACTGTGTTTTGTCCATGAKTACTTGTTTTCTCGGCGTGMTTCTCTTTTTGTTRGSTAAGATTTGACGTGRCTTCAAATGAWTGGATATTACTTAGTTTTGCAGCATCCTGTGAAACAATCGTTACAGAGGAAGCSCCAATGCTTTCGTTATGAGGTAGCATTTTCTGAAAGTTATCTCTATCCTGCTCTGTRCTTCCGATGTAGACAATCGTCGGTTCATAAAACTCCGATGGTGCAAACACACCTTTGCATTTTACTTCGTCTAAGCAAGTAACCAGGTAACATCGAGTGCGCAAGAGAAACACMGCATTACACGTAATGGATTCGCAGCATTTCTTTACGCATTCTTCGGAATRATTAACCTGTCCTACGGCTTTAAAGTCACCTGCCCCCATGCCAGACTCAAACCGGACGTTTTTGAAAACAGAACTTTTAAAACACTCGGAACTAGTTGAGGTGTTCACGCTGTTGACGTCTTTATCCTGCATAAGTGTCTTATTCCTCGACAKTGATTTGAGCATGTTATKAAGTAGTAGTTTTTCCTCACGATTTCGAGCDATGTATGCCAAATCTGACGCCTCGTCCGTGTAAACATCATGACAGGCGTCTGAATCAAAACAAGAAATGGAGTAACAAGTYTTGTTTTTGAAAAGCGCCATATTGCATTCCGGAGTTCCACAACACGCTTGTGTACAGTCATCAAAGCTCTTGATCTTTTGACGCACCATGTAGTCTTTCAACTTTAATGGCYTTCGTAAAGACGCTTTATGAAAAACTAGTGAATCAATACAACCCTTAGGAAGTTTGCTACTAGCTACTTCCTCAATCTCCCATGTCCCAACTGGAGGAAAATCAGTGGATTCAAGAGCTTTATYTSTTAAAGAAGCATTCACGGTACCATTGGAAGCATTTGTATCCTRATTCACTATGCTTGAGRTGTCTATAGGAAGGACCTCAACCACATCTTGTGTTTCTATTAGTTCATCACGCAAAGGCTCATTGCTAGAACTTGGTGTGACTTTACTTGAAGTAATTGCACTYGGCGTCGGAGTAATTTCTCTGAGGTTTGTACTCGCTGTAGTWGCTGATGGCACGGAATGTTCATGAACCGGATTTGTTTGCACAGASCTCATTGTAACCTTTGATTTGACTTCAGAACTTGATGATACACRATGAAGAGTTTGTTCTGGATTGTATCTACTTTCAAATGGTTCTTGCGTTTTCAGCTGACCATCATCATGTCGCTTTTCTGGGAGGCCTTCGTCGTGTGAAACAGTTGAAGCAGACAACGATGTGCTGCTTACTGCAACACTAGACGATTGCTGGCGTAAACTACTAATTGATTGGTGCATCTGAGCAGCTTTTACCTTCTCATCAACCGCAAGTGACGGCAACGGAGTGTGCAGTGGTAGCAAACTCGACTGGGGAATCATAAGAGGACTTGTTGTTACCTTTATTGATAACGTAGTTTTAGATACATCTGCATGTGTAACAAGGCTAGTAGAAGTATTCAATGGAGTAGCTCCTTTTGCAGGTATAGKGGAAGTAGTCGATGGAGCTACCTTTTGAGTTGAAGAAGTCTTGGGTGACATTCTATTTACATTTAAAGACACTGGTACACTACTGGTAGATAGTTTCTGCTCTTGTGTGCTACTGCTTGAAGCAACATTGTTCGATTTAGAAGCTTCACTAGACATGCTTACAGCATGAAATARACTTGAGCTGGACARCATAATCTTGTTGCTWGACGGAGTTGAAGGCACCTTCTGGCTTTGAGTGTTAGTCMTCGATTGAATGGAGAAATCGGCTAATCCAGGTAATGCTGAAGAAGTCGATGACAAAGTCACATCGGATACACTAGGAGCTGTTGGTATTGCTGTTGAACTTGTACTGACTTTGTAGCTGKGTGAGAGCATTRTTGTAAACGGAATAYTTTTRCCTGGGGATGTGGTGYGTCCAARRGATGAAAGAGAGCCCAGGGTGGTCCCTGATGAAGACGATYAACTAGATGATGGAGAARCCGTAATATTTTCAATAATATGCAGCGAAGGAGGCATACTGATTGGCTTGACACCAATAGAATCTTTTACAGAAGGTGACGTAGCCTGAGGATYTACGCGACCCAGCAAACCCAACGAGAGAAGTGCTCGTCCTAAGTTCATGGGACTTACAGTCTTTCCTGGCATATTGACCATCATTGCAGCCACAGTTGAAGATGATGATATTGGTGAGGACTTAACCAATACGAGTTCCGGGACCATGAAAGCTTTGTTGGACTTCCTAAGATGGCAGTTGCTTTCCTTGAAGCACACAAGATTGTAYCAYTAACCACCTATCAAAAGAGCCACTTCGCATCCTTTATACCCACAACAAATCTCAGAACATTTTTTGATTTCTTTGACTTCGGGATACTTGATAAACTTCCCTGACCTCCATCCGCCAGTCAGATTAACATTTGTTTGAACTGAACTGACATCACATCGTTTATCCATTATACTTCGCACATGGCCACCATCAAAGGTGTTATTTCMTATACCATCTATTAAGGCTATCGATGTTTGATACTTAGTTTTCCTGGACGTCACTGGCTTGCATAGTGTCTTGTTRCCTTGACATTTGACCGTAAAGCAATTGTGATCAACCATGAATGCCGCATCACAAGTGCTATCAGCACAACATGCCTTAAAGCAGTCAGTCATATTACCCACAATTCCATGTTTTGTYAAGTTTCCAGATTTAAAACCACCCCTGAACGTCACACCAGTCAGCACTTTAGGATTATCCAGACAGGTATCAAATCTCTGAAGCCTTCGCTTGAATTCACTGAATCCTGACCTTTCCATTAAAGCRAATTTGCTGCTGTACTTTGCTTCATGAGAAGCTACTGGAAGGCATCTTGTTTTYTTTTGAACGCATCTTAAGGTGTAGCAGTGATCTAAAACCATGAATGGTGCGTCGCAAAGAGGATCATCACAYCATTTATTRAAACAAGCATCAAAGTTCTTCACAATACCATGTTTGGTAAAATTTGCCGCTGCAAGMCCGCCTCTMAGGGTAACATTTGTGTAAACGCGTCCAGTGATACTGCAATCAAGGTTACTTTGATTTTCTTGTTTTGAATCCWTATCAAAGGTCTTATCGAAGTAGACTAGCGATGTATTTAGACGGTCAGAATGAGCAGATACAGGACTACAACCCTTWGCYRTAAAACAACTTACAGTAAAACAATTCGATATTACCATGAAAATGGCARCGCAGTTTTCTGTATCGCAGCAGTGCTTGAAACAGGCCTCGACGCTGTCAACCTTTCCAAGGTCGGTAAAATTTCCTGCATGGATTCCATCACGGAAAGTTACGTTTCTTAACACAGTCAGGTTTCTAAGACAGGTCTCTGGTTCAATGTTTCTACTAATGTTAGCGGAGTGATTGATTGTTTTGTTGACCTTATAAGGTAAGACTGACAAGCGTTTCGTCATCGATACTATCTTTGTCTGTACTAGTGTCGAGTTAAACGGTATAATTTCGCATGCCTTTTGGCTGTAGCATTCAACAGAATAACACTCKATCTCTACCATAAAAGCAATGTGGCATTTTGTGAGATTATAACAAAGTTCAACGCATTTTTCGATGTTCTTGACAGCCCCTCGTTCGTTAAACACTCCMGCAGCAATGCCACTACGGAATGTAACGTTGCTGTAAACGTCACTATGTTCATAATCATTAGCGTTAACGTTAAGATCTAAATGCGAGATGTGAAACGCAGGCAATATGTCTTGCGATAACGATTCATTTCGTAAACTTCCTGATGATTGTTGCTTCATCTGGAATTTCTCTTGACTTGCGACAAGAATCTTAACACTCATAGAGGTTGTCGCGATTGCAGTACTTGCTTGCTCGATTCGTTGGGAAGTACTAATAGCTGAGCCGCTTACGGAGTTGATATGGCTTGTTAACGGCGTGACACTTTGTATCTGTTCGCTATGTTGCAGTSCAGATGAAAAGCTACTAACTTTAAATGGTGCTACCGTTGTTTTTGGAGTTTGTACTTGTGAAGTGCTTGAAGTTTGAGATGAACTATCTGACTTTGCGACATGAGATAACTTAGGATGCTCGATGGCTCGATTYAACCATTTCAGTACCACTAAATGTTTGAGTTCGTTTAGTTTGGTGTTAAATAGCTCTAATAGCTTAATTTCTCTAGATGGCTCTAATTCTGATTCGTTTGATGGCCGATCAATATTTGATCGTTGACCGAGCTGTCTTCCTTCTTTGACCTCTTTNCGTGGATCTTCTACCAGGTGACTTGCTTTATCTTTTGCTTCCTGGTCATGTTCAATATTACCTGGAATTTTAATCTTTATTGTTTCAACTCCAGAAACCACATGGGACAATTCAGAGGAAGTGGTCTTCTCAGGGTTTATAACTACCACTACACGATTGGATACTGCTGGTGTTGCAGTCAAGCCTGGTGAGTTCCGTGACGTAACCGACGCTTTCTTTGTCTTCAACAACGAGGGCTTCAGTGAATGTGATGTTTTTAGAATTGAACTAATTGTTCTTGAACCCTGATTTATTGTCGACCTGGAATAGAATGACGATTGTGATTTTCCAGCTGTGAATGAACTGGAATGTCTATTACTTTGCTGAATAACAGTTCCAATGTTAAACTTAGAAGATGCAATTGTATTTTTGTTGTGAGGTGTTGATTTTGTATCAGTGCTGCTTCTGGAAGATGCTGAGTGATCTTTGCGCAAAGAGGATGAATCTGAATGTACACTTTCACTAGGTTCTAGATTAACCACAATACTTTGCAGATGGRTGRTCCTTGAAAGTGGAGTAGTTTTTTCCAGTGCGTGGGTTGTCTTRTTTGATATGCCAGGTATAATAGTCGGTGACAATGCCATAGTAGTGGACCGCTTTACAGTTGGCTGCAAATGCGACTTCTCGATATCATGTAGAATAATTTTAATGGGCGTTGGATTATCTTCCTGTAAAACAACTTTAACTTTTTCAATGGCTTTGACTTTAGAAGGCGTTGAAGGAACTGTGTGCAATGGTTTCAATGAGGTTGGTGATATTACTGAATGTGTCAATAATCTGTATGAAGGCTGCTGTGGTTGTGTGACTAAAGTAGGTCTTGTAGTTACAAACACTGTGGACTGTGTGTTCTCTGTGGAAGCAGGACTCAATTGACCAGTCTTAACACTAGTTGTGACCGGCATACCATCCAAACTGTATCCCCTTGATCGGMKTTCTCTGSCTMGTAGTTTGGACTGCGGTAAACTGCTTTTCACTGGGTGTGTTTTCGTGGACATTATTGTACTTGTATATAATTGASTTCTCCTCTGTTGAGTATCCTGTGGTTTTGACACCCATCCATTTCCTTTCGATCTATAATTACTATTAGAAGAAACACCATAAAAACTTTGGCGGACACTGTGACTRGGTGTAGATTTTATGTCCCGTACTTTTTCAGTAGATGGCCTAACTGAAAGGAAGCCAGTTTTTTCAGCTTCGCTATTAGTTGAAATAGTAAATTTTGAAGCAAGGTTGGAGCTGCTATCACTTGAGAACAGCAAAGGCTTGGACAAAGTCACGAGTTGAGGTGCAGTTTCGTTGGCAAAAAGATCTGTTTCGGTTTCATTGGACACRAGMATTGTCTCGTTCGAAGTCATTTCTTCATCTGGSGTGTAGTGTTTTGCATCGCTGTGGTTCCCATGMTGTGCTTGAGTAGTTTTATTCATCTTCTTCAGAGTTGGCTTGTAATCATCTTGAAAATAGAAAATCACGATATGCCATATTTTACTTGAATATTTTCAAAAGCTTTAAAAGGACATCAAATGTTAAAAGAAGACTTTGTTCAATGTGAGTGCATTTGCACACTAAATCACATTGAACTTTAAATCACTTGATAATGACATCTCGAAGATGTCGAAACGTTTAATMTRTGCGTTAGTMTTCATTCTTAACTAAAAATATCAAAAMGGAAAAGAAATTTCCTACCTTTTGAAGCAACCCCCTTATTTGCCCTCCTCTTRCTAAAAATAGCTCGTGGATGATACTCAAGATGTCGCGATGGCACTGGATCACAAAGACCTGGGCTTTTACATGTTACCATAAAACAGAAATCGCTCAACATCAGTGCAACGTCGCACTCTTTCCGTTCACAGCATAGCTTGGCACACAGRGTGGAGTTTCTGGTGTCTAGAAGAAGTTTGAACTTCCCGGCTCGCTGACCTCCTCGAAGCGTAACGTTTTGATATACAGATGAAAACTGAAAATGAAAGGTAAAACATTGAAAAGTCTTAAGGAATGCCGAAAACTGATGCGTACTCTTTTGAAGTTCTCAAATTCCATGACTTTTACATGGTTTTCAATAACCTAAACATGGAAAGCCCACATCATATGAAATACTAGCACTTCATGTATGTGACCTTTAATTGGTTGAAAATTTTTTTATCAGCACAAGCTATTGTATTAAATATCATAAATTTGCTCAGGAAATAGTAGTAGTCAGAATAAGATGACAAATAAGGATGTTTTCAATGATACATTATAACCATGGACACAATTCCATGACTTCCTAGTCCAGGCCTGGAAAACTAAAATACACAATTCCATGACTTTCCTGGTTTTCCAGCAAAGCTAAGGTAGTTGTTTACTGCCCGAATAATGACAAATGTGCTCATAAAACACCTTTCAACTGGTACCYATAAATCCCGCAAACGGAATGCTGCACCCACATATCTTTCATATTAAATGAAGTAAATAAATTTTTAAATTAAGTAAAGAAGTACCTCACAAGTAGACGTTTCATGGTCTTCACGGGCAATATTATTTCTTGCCTCACGAGATGGTCTTGCAGTTGTRCTATGTCTTGTCACTCTTGTTATTTTTGGTGTAGAATAAACACTAAGGATGTTTTCCTTTAGGTTGCTTTCAAGTGGTGTACTTCCGCTTTCACGAGAATCATTGCTATGTTCAGTAGTAGCTGGTGTTTGAATCTTTGCCGTTTGTTTSTCGTTGGTTTGGGTTGAAGTTTGATTTTTCTGTAAGTCTATGGTAATATTTAGTTTTTCSTTAGGTAGACTACTGCTTACAGTTGTCTTCGCTTCAAGTGTTTTTYTTGTGGTTGGAAACAATGGCGRAGGAGTTTTACTGCTAAATTTTGATAAGYCATCTMCCACAACAGTAGATAAGTGATCACCTACAGTACTTGATGATTTCKTGTCATTTGGAGTTAATGRGCCTTGCATTCTCACCATTCCAACGTTGCTAYATGACTTTATWGGCATAATTGTACTACT